TCCTGTTAATAAGGAAAAAGTGGGTTATGAATTCACTACCTCATTTATACTCTCAGTAAACATTTGGTTCAGGCAGTCCTGTCAGTGTAATGGTTGTATAATCTTCACATTGAAGCAGGTGATTTAATAATAGCTTGATCCAAAGCTACAGGATAACAGGGGATGGGGCTTTCTGATGCTCGAGGGGCACTAAGCAGTAGAACTGAGCAAATATCAGAGTTTTGATGAGGATTCAAAAGCTTCTTGCTTACATGTTGCTGTAATAGTTGTGTTTTTGTTGTTGTTGTCTTCTTGTAGCAATATTTTGTTCTGCTGATCATCACTGATGGAGTGATCACGGACATGGACGAGACGCGCAACGCTATCGTCAACGCATCTCGCCTGCCCATGTCTATCATCATCGTCGGGGTCGGAGGGGCGGACTTCAGTGCCATGGAGTTCCTGGATGGAGACGATGGTCGTTTGCGCTCTCTCACTGGCGAGGCTGCCATGAGAGACATTGTCCAGTTTGTACCATTCAGGCAGTTTCAAAATGTAAGTGACAGTAAAAACATCAAGTTTTTGTTGTTTTTGTTTTATATCTATATGTACCAGGTTTCTGGATGCTGTTAGCTTTGGGTGTCCCCCTGATTTTTCTGTCCACATTGCATGTACTTTGTTTTTTGTTTTTTTTCTAAGCTGACATTAAAATTACAAACTAAACGGAGCAGAGTGTTTCTCGAGCCAATACCAGTTAATCATATATATCCAAAGTGAGGGATTGCCTGCGCCTCAGCCTAAAAATCATCTAAGCTGTTTTCACACATGAAATGTTGCGGGAAACATGTTAGGACAACCAGAGAATGTCCCTTCTCACATTTTCCACATCCCAAGAACAATGCCCATGTGGGCCCACAGTGGGAAAGTGTGGGTGAACTGTGGGGTTGTGTAGGCGGGGCAAACCCACACTTACACCATGTAAGTCCCAAGTTGGGTGTGCTAATGCTGGGTCTCTGCTTCGTGTAGTCCACTCTATGGGCTGCCTCACTGGAGCCTTACATTTCATGCCAGTGAAATATGCTGTTTGGTGTAGGAGAGGAGGTTTCATGGGCTCTTCCCACATGAGTGCGTTGTTAAAAGAGAGCCGGGAGGCTGACGGCCGTTTAATGTCCAGTCTGACTGAGACTGACAGATGCATTACCACAACCTGTGTAATGTCTGGAAACATGCAGAGCTACAGCGCATGTGTGGAAACAGCTTTAGCTTATCTCTTTGCTTTGTTTTATCCATTTCTTTTCAGGCGCCCAGCCAGGCTCTTGCCCAAAGCGTATTGGCCGAGTTACCTCAGCAAGTGACCTCCTTCTTCAGTTCATTGAAACTGAAGCCTCCCCAAGATCCTAGTCCTTCATAGGGGTACCTCAGAAATATTAAGTCATAAACCCTGCTTTCATCTAACTTCTCCTTCACCTGCACGAAAAACTGCAGCAATGAATCACTGCATGCGATTCATCATCAGTCTGGTACAACAAAGTCTGTCGTACTGTCTGACTGAGTATCTGTGGCTCTGGTTAAAGGCACTGGTGGCACTCTGACTTATATTAAAGGAAAATTCCTCTATTTACGTAACGCTGTTAAAGCGGCACTTTGTTGTTAAAGTGATAAGCAGTTGAGCACATCTTTGATCGGTCCAGGAGTTTTGATTAATGTTAGCCTACCACCGGCCTCAAAAGTATAATCATCTCTGCTGGAGTGTGACGTAATTACAGCCTCAGAAAGTGTCAAGATAACATCTGAAATCCAATGTTTATTAAAGTGTGTGGAATTTTCCTTTAAGCTCTCTTCATTTCCATCACTCTCTCCTTGCTGTGTTCAATACTCGTGCAAGGAATCAGTTAAAAACATGTAGAATTATTTTCCTCTTCACTGTTTTTGACTTGACTCTTTTTGCTCTTCAGGCACCGAAGGAAGCGCTGGCAAAGACCGTGCTGGCTGAAGTACCAGGTCAGCTGGTGGATTTTTTTAATACCATGAAACTGAGTCCACCCAACTCCAACCCTGCAACCAACCCTGCAGGCACTGTGTAGCAGACTCATCTCATCTCCAGCAACTATAGATCACCTCATAGCTTCCTCACATTATGCAATCACCACACTGAGATAATAGAAAACACATCCTACACAATCACTCTCCTCGGTTGAATAATCTGTTATTGCTTTTAGATGCTAAAACAGGCTTGGTGCTTTTGAGATTACAGTGAATTCTAAAGCAACTGCAAAATAACCCACACTAAGATTTAAGGCTTTAGTGTTAATGTAATATTTACTGAATAACAGGATATTCAGATTTACAAGATAAAACACTGCAAAGCAGTGTGATTAATTTTTTTTTAATGCGTGTTTGTTGGCTCCAGGTAAAATGTAGAATAGGGAGTTCTGGGCTTCTCTGCTTAGGCTGCTGCCCCCACGAGCCGGCCCCAGATAAGCGGGAAAAAAATGGATGGATGGAGGTAAAATGTAAAATAATAAAGATTATCTTTTGATAGCATCATACCACATGTTTATTCTTGTTGTTTTTGGCACGTGGAGCTTCTTCTAAAAGCTGTGGCATTATTGCACATTTATAGCAAAACATTATATTATTCTGTTTAGTTAGAATGAAATGCCAAACCCAGAGTATTATTCTGAAAGGATGTTGTGATAACTGGAATGTATAATGCCAGTTTTTAGTTTTGTGTCAGCTACATTTAGATACTTTATCACTTGGATGAAGATTAGCAAAGTTACCACGGGATCATTTCTTCAACTGGACCAACAACTAAGAGGAACATAAATCAGTATTAAACATGCTGGCACAGTAGAAACCAAACTCAGGACTGATTGTTAGTCATATATAGAGTCTAAATGATACCGTAGTTTTTAAGATCGATAATGATATTTGGTGAGTTTAATAATCTGATACTTTGATATATAGGCAGACTTTTGTTTTTTTTCTTCTCTTACCTTGTTTACTCTGCCCACCTTTGCTTGTTTTGTGGCTTTCCAAACATACATGCTGCCAACAGGGAAGCTGCATGTTTCAAGGGCATATCTACCGTAACTTCTTTACCTGATACTGAAGGATTGGCAAACAGCTAACATTGTTCGGGTGATAAATGGATCAGGTCCTAGTCATGTACATTTATGGGTTTTTTTTGTTTGTTTTTACCTTTTTGTTTTTATATGGTTTTACAATGAAACGAATGTATCACGTTTCATCTGCTTTGTGGTCTGAAAGAAGTGGGAACTGTGCCTTCATTGTACATTAAGCATGCAAATAAAGCCTATTTTATTCAAACAAATTAAATCAGAGCGTCATTTACCCCTTACAAAGAACTAGAAACTGTTTATTTCTCATGCACACAGTAAAGTTGAAGCCATTTCTGTTGCTACTAATGTTAGTGTTATGTTAATTCCACAGCTTAGTTTAGGATGTTGATCCACTGCTGGTCTTGAGTGTAAGGATTTGTGGATACAGTCATGTACGGTATTTAAAAGACAGACGAGGCTTTCAACTCTGCAAACTAAAGCCAGTGCGGAAGTGCCCTGAAAATGCATTCTTTCTAATGCCCACAGTATACATGTGTATACTGAAGAAATATGTTCATAAATGCAGGGTGTGTGCGTGTGCACAGGCACATATGTATGTTTATATTTGAGAATGTATTCATGTATATACATATAAATGCAAATGTGTCCATGTTTCTGTTTGTTTGCAGCTGAACATATATATCAGGATAAAGTTTATTGCTATCAATTTTCCATTGACTGCACGTCAGTACCTAGCTGTCGATGCCCCATCTATTCTGTCCTTTACAGCTTTACAGTCCTGTCTTTCTTGTTATGTCTCATGTGAATGTTCCTCTGTACAAAAAACAAAACTTAGAAAAACCATTCAAGCCAAGACATCGTGCTATTCAGCTTGAGTTTATTTTCAATATCTTTTATCATTTTTCTTCAGTTCCAGTTTAAGATTCATGCTTTTCCCCCCACCCAATTTAGAGCTTATAATGAGTGTCTGTATGGCCTTTGTGACGCTGGTGGAGAGTTGCTCAGACTCTAGGAGGCCATGCTGAAGAGAGGGCGAGGAGGAAGCTCCAGCTGCAGGATGCAGGGAACTACCTGTCACCACTTCCTGTGTGGTGAGGATTTCGGAGCTATGCGTTACCTGCTGCTTCTCTTTAAGAGTTTGAATGTAACTTCTCACCATGCGGAGGAGTTTAGGTGTTTTGTAGAATAAAGTTATAAGAATGATCTTTTAAGCCTATTTAAAGAATCACAGAAATATTGAGTGATGTTACATTAGACTGTTTTTTTGCTGCTCTTTGACTTCAGCAGGAGGAGGTGAACCTACAGCTGGGAGCGATTCCCTGGTGGGTGTGAGGATCGTATTTCCGTTATTCCTGGTCTGTACCTCAGACAAGAACTGAGTCAGCTTTTTGAAGTTTTCCTACAGAAAGACTAAGACGGCAACACACTCCTAATGATTTGTCTTCTCAGTGTTGCCATAATGTTTTCAGTTGTTAAATACTAAACTAAAAGCAGATAATTCAGTGTTGAAATATTCCACAAAAGTTCCACATTAAGAAAAGTGACCCCAGACAGTCTACGAAGGTGTTTTTCTGTCCACAAAGTAAATATGATTCAAGAATCACCAATTACACGATTTCAGCTAAAAAAAAAATTCACATATCAGCTTTCTCTAGATTTAAGTCTTAATGAATAATATGTTCATTTTGTGAGTTACATCCCCCCCGTGAGGCAAAGAAACGATAAAGCAAAGTATACTTAAGGGCAGACCTCCCATGATATTGCCAAATCACCACCATATAATCTCTCCCTTGGCCTCTCAGTTGAGGTCTGGTTTCAAAAAGCTCGACTTGATATAAGATGTACAACTTACCGAAATTATTACCACAAAAATCAAGGTATTATTCAGCTAGTAGTGAATCAATTGAATCTAAAATTCAAAAATAAATGCTCGTGCAAAGTTCACACAAATACTTTATTGTGTAAAAGTGTACAAAGATACAGCTTGTTCACTGATGTCACTGTCAACAATGCAGAGTGATAGCAGTTGTGACTTAGAGATACTAATCCCCTCAGGCTAACGACCTATAATCAGGCACTTCACATTATTATATAAAAATAGGTTGCTGCCTTTGTGGAGCTGTTCTTATTTAGTGTCACATTTCCTGCTAACATCACCTTCTGCTCAGGCTGTGAACCCAGCTCATCCGAACTATTGCCTGAAAGATGACACGTGAGCACTACAGCAAACGTCTGATCTACAGTGAAGATGGATGCATCTCAGTGCTACAAACCTACATAAATCACCTTATAGATCACATGACTAAGACATTCTTTACTTTGCGTTACAGTGCTGAAGCTCTACACCTTCTCCAAAGTAGCTAGTGGAAACCTCACATCTTGAGTGGAGGTTTATTTTCAGTTCTCCAGCAGCTCAGCCGACTGTATTTTTATGTCAGTTCTGCATAAATCAAAGAGCTTGAAATGCTGGAAGAGGAGCCGGATCCTGGATAGAATTACATGCGGTGGATTTTGTGGTGATCCATGAACTGTTTGAGGTTCTGCAGGTTGTCCCACCACGTGAAGAGGAAGGTCTCTGCAATGAGACTGAACCAGGGCGTGATCTCCAGTTCTTTGCGCTTGGCCTTCTCCAACATCTCCTTCAGCTCCTCTTTGCTCACATAACAGTGGCTTTTGATCTCATTGGGGTCTGGATTCAAGTCCACGTCCTGTGGAGAGGCATAAGAAAGTCATGCATCAAAGACAATCCTAATAGACAAAAGGCAGACTCGCAGACAAATGAAATCCAGATACACGTTACATCAAGATAAATGAAAACAGCTAATTTGTTAATTTGCTCAGGAGTAATCATGTTTTTTGCTCCATTCCTGCTTCCTCTAAGCCGGTACTCTCTCATATTGTCTGCACCTTGTAAACATGAGGCCTCTGTGCTCATACCCAGAGCTGTATGCCTTTGAGACCACATTAGGGACGCTCTCTATATGATACAGAGTCATGAGCCATTACTTGCACATACGCTGACCTCATTATAGGAAAAACTGGACATGTTTAATGTGGGCTGTCACAGTTTGCATGCTTAACTTTAAATCATCATGGAATTGTATCTGTAGAACACCTTAAAATTTAAGGTGATAATATTCAGTTGTATGATTGTGGTCAGTGACTCACTGAGCTAACATGCACCTAATATATGTGCATTTTAATTTTTGCATGCCAGTCACAAACACACACATTAGAGCAGTTTCACCTGAGGCAGGTCCACCTCACATCAGTGTCCTGCAGAGTGACCACAAGTTAGTTTGAAGAGCTTAATGATTACATCCTGTGTACATGAAGCATATTCCTAAATGAAGCTATTCTTTTAAATCCACAGAACTCATGTACTCAGAGGTAAACTCAGGCCAAGGGTTGTTATTTACACGGGTGAAATGAAGCTGTCACATCAAGCCTGCACACTGTGTAAGGTAGATTTAGCCTTTCAGGTTAAAACAAAAATCACTGAGTACAGTGGATATAAAAGTGTACACATCCCTGTTAAAATGGCAGGTTTTTATGATGTTAAAAAAAAAAACAAGACCACAAAAAATTATTTCAACTCTTTTTCCCACCATTAACATGAACTTTGACCTCTGCACAATTCATCTGAAAACCAAACAGATCTGTTGTGGGCAAAAATATGAATAATTAAAAACGTACAATAAGGGAGGCTGCCAAGATACCTACAGCAATACTGAAGGATGTGCAGGTATATTCGGCATGTACTGGTTGTGTGCTACATATGACAACATCCTGTATGTTGTCACATGTGTGGACTATGGGGCAGGGTTTCAAGACGGAAGCCTTCTCTGACAAAGAAAGACATCCAAGCCCAGGCACAATTTGCAAAAAAAATGCTAAAGTCTCTCAAAAGCATGTTACCATCCCCATGGTGAGCCATGGTGGTGGCGGTATCATGCTTTGAAGTTGATTTTTATCAGCTGGAACTGGAGCTTTAGTCGAGGTGGAGGGAATTATGAACACCAGTCGCTTTTGGCTCAAAACCTTCAGTCATCTGCTTGAAAGCTGAAGATGAAGAGGAATTTCACCTCCAATGACCCCAAGCATATATCCAGATCAAGATAGGAAATATTTTCTTTTAGTGAAAGTTTTGCACAGGAGATGACCTCACAATCTGACAGCTGGAGCACTTTTACAAGGAAGAGTGGGCAAATGTATCCAAGTCAAGATGTGCCATGCTGATGGATTTTTACCCAAAAAGGGTAAATGCTGTAATTAAATAAAAAGTTGCTTCAACAAAGTTCTAGTTTAAATGTGTGCATGCTTATGCAAGCAGCCTATTGTCCATTTTTTGTCTTTTAGATTTTTCCCATAACAGATTTGAATGTTTTTCAACTGAACTATGCAGGTTGTAACACAAGGGAAAAGCTTTGAGGGTCATGCACACCATTTATATCCACTGCATACATTTGTATCTAACAGATACTACAGCACTACCTTCTGCACAAAAAGGATGTAGTCAATCTCATGTTCTCCCCAAACCCCATCGGACTGGGCCTTGTAATGGATTCTTGTTAGGTATGTCATTTCATCTGGAGTCACCTGAGGAGAAACAGGAAAGCGGAGATCACACACAAGCGAAGATTTGCCACAATCCTTAGTAATCCTCTTCCAGTGTGGGTAGAAGTCGGAACTGAAACACACACCTGCTCCATGGGAATACCCAGCTCTGCGCCGAGTCTCCTCTGAGCAGCTCTCCTCACCCCCAACGCATCCTTCTCCTCCAGCTCACTGTCTGTGTGTAGAGGATGACTACAGCATGTGTTTGTGAAGCAGCCTGCGCAAAAAACACACACAGAGACACAGAGGATTGTTAAAACCTATAAATACTGCTTAGCCTCGATAAAGCAGCCTCTGAGGGGACCGCAGGAGAATTTAAAAGTAGTGAGACTGACCTGGAAAAGTGATTTTGGCGTCAGACCTCTGCTGTAAAAGCAGCTTCTCCTCGCTGTTGAAAATAAAGACGCTGAAGGCTCTGTGCAGCAAACCTGTTGGCAAGAACAAACAACATGCATAGAAATGAGTGATGCAGAACAATACCTGTGTGGATACTAATGTGGAAGACAGGCACCTTTGTCGATGTTGGAGTTGAGGTGGCAGTTTTTCTTAGTGTCCGCTCCGATCTTGAGGTCGTTCTCGTCGATGAGGATGCACATCTCGGACAGAAGCTGCACCTGCTTCTCATCCAGGTGATCGGTGGTTACTTCGGGCATTCTGGCTGCAGACTGCAGGTGTCTGACTTCACTGCAGCTCACAGGGTAGCAAACAGTTCATGATTCACCAATTTATCAGTGTTGGCTTTTAAATGGCACTTTTCATTTGAATGACAGGCTTCACCGTTGTATTTTTTTCTGTAGTTTTACAGTAGATGAAAAAATGATTATTGTGAGGTGCTTCTGAAAGCTCTAGAAAGTGGACCTTGCGTTTTATTCCAAGTTTAGGATTCAATAGTCACACTCAAGGAATATTGTATAGCAATAACACTGAAAATCCAAAATCAAGAGACTCCGTGAAATGATCAAGAAACCCCCTTTGAAACACATGAAACGTTGGTATCTTGCTAGTTCTGTATAGCTTTTATATTAAGACAAAAGTTTACTAAATACACCTGCTACAACATATAAAGCATGCCGTACTGGCGACAATATACTGAGGATTTGAGCCACGACCATAACAGTGTGTTCTTTAACCCTTATGTAAAGCTATGTCAAGTGCAAGACTTTGTTTTAGACAGAATTTGGCCTGAGTTTTGTTGGTAGCTGTGATAACCCGGAGCATACAAACAAACGCGCTGCGGCACTCAGCTACCAATAGCCCAAAAAACAGCGTTACTTCCTGTTTACGGCTAATAAGCTTAACCGTTAGCTGGCTTTTAAACTCAGTATTTTGGGCCTGTTTCAGAAACCTACGTCCTTCCATCTTACCTGGATATCGCTCTGCCGCAGGTAGTAACAGCTGCGCACGCAGGTCTGGATCGCCGCAAAGCTCCTGTGGTGGCACAAGGTGCGTTTGATTTCAGCACAGCGGCTCCCTCCCTGGATAGCATCCGGAGGACCGCCCACACAGCCCGCGCCATGGCCTGAGAGAAACAGAAAACCAATCACGGGGACCGGGGGTGTGGCTGTCGGTAAAAAAACGGCCAGGATCGCAGTGGGTCGGGATCGGAAGGTTAAATCACGCTTCTTGACAAGGTTATTCTGCCAGATTACCACCACTCTATAATTCAGATATATTTAATTTACAATGACACAAGAGAGAGAGAGAGCTCGGCTGTTCAAACACTCGATTTTTTTTAGCATTAAGGTTCCTGTTTTAGATCAAGTGCAGTTCATGTTACATCCATATAGGAAAGCCATAGAACTTAATACAGGGTGCAGGCTCGCTTATCAAGCCCACTATGTCCCTTCAACTGAATTCTACTGATCTGTTTTGACTGTAAGTTACACTAATTCATACAATTCGGTAGTGAAACTCTCAAACACCTATATTTCCGGCAAGTTAATGCAGTTCAAGCTCCATTAATCATTCACATGACTGCTTCTGCAACAATCACGGTAACCAGGAGGACACTGAGCCGATACGGTCAGATTTTGGGAAGCATCTTTCATGTCTCTTTGAAACCAGTACAAGGTGATTCACCAGGTATACAGCTAGCTTTAAAGCATGGCTCTACTCAACAATGGCAAAACAAATAAAATGAAAATGTGATGAGGCTATTGTGCTAGTGATCCACTTCACCCAGGAAAATGCCTCTCTTGTTTTGCCTCTGCAATCTAACAGAGACATTTTTGCACTTTTATAACTGTGGCTACACCTCTCCATAAGTGTACTATGCATATATGCTTATAAATATGCAGACAGCCATCTACAGTCTGGCCCTGCATTTATAATGGCACTGCATCATATTACATATATTTAATTTAGTGAGGAGGACATATTTCGATGATGCAACTTTGATAAAAAAAATACAAATAAATAAATAAATTAAATAAAAAAAAAAAAAAAAAAAAAAAAAAAAAAAAAAAAAAAAAAATATAATAATATATATATATATATATATATATATAAAAAAAAAAAAATAAATATATATATATAATAATATATATATAATAATATATATAAAAAAAAAAAAAAAAAAAAAAAAAAAAAAAAAAAAAAAAATATATATATATATATAAAATATATATAATATATATAAAAAAAAAAAAAAAAAAAAAAAAAAAAAAAAAAAAAAAAAAAAAAAAAAAATATATTTTATATATATATTATATATTTAAATATTATATATATAATAAAAAAAAAAAAAAAAAAAAAAAAAAAAAAAAAAAAAAATAATATATAAATATATATTAGGAACATTGTATAGGAGTTTACGCAAACACAAGTATGATTGCGTTATATTAATCAAGTGTAGTTATGTATTAATAAAACATTAAAGCTACTTATTTTAAATTTTCATCGTCAAAACCTTCCTTACCTATTTACCAAAGCTATCTAGAGAAGGTGAAGAAAGAAGGGCAATACCAAGTTGTACCACAAGATGGTGCAATGAATCCATCTAACATTTATTCTACCTGGTAACTCATATTTTTAATAGTGGCCACACAAAATAAAAGGAATAAGGGAGCAAACAAGAAGTGAAGTACAAATCCAAATCCAAACACTCCAAGTTAAAATGCAATTGCATAAAACAACTTTAAGGTCTAAGCTGAAAATGGTAACGACTCTCAACAGCTCCGTTCCCGTAGACTCTGCTTCATGTTTTCCTCCAAGCCCCGACTGTCAACACGCCATCGGACCACTGCACAGCACATCTGCGCCACCCAGGCTTCTGTCAACTGAACATAAGTATGCACCGGCTGTTGTATATACACGCTACGGAGAAAGCGACAAAGCATTCAATTACTCACGAAAGCTGTACTTTCTTTACGGTTTGCAAATCACGTCTTTTACCGTGTTTCAACGGTGTTTTAGGGCGCAGTCTGTCGGAACGACTAGCGCTTCCAGTTACTAACCTCACGGTTTTTCATTCGTTGTCCTCCCAGCCGCGTGACAGCTCATTGGCTAACAAAGCGCAAACACGGTCTACGTTACACGGAAGTAGAGTGCACAAATAATATACGTCATGTGTCAAAATTTTCTAATAAAAATCTGATACTTTTTGTAATAAAAGTATAATTTATCACCCATTTTCCAAACTAATGAGTCACAGCCTTGTCAAAAAATGCAAACTTGTTAGCGTACACGAGCTCGTGCGACGTTAGAGATGATATAACCCGTCGTGTCCTTTAGCTGCTGTGCGCTGTTTGGTCTAAGATGCCGCGAGGAAGCTGATATGTGGCAGTTAGCTCGTGCTAGCGTTTAGCTCTAGTAATTTCTCGGGCTGCTTGGCGTGTATAGATTCAGTCAGGTAATGACAGTGGTGAGTGTCGTCTTGTTTCGTGTACCTGTATATCAAAATGATGTCAAATTACCTTTTAATTTTTCATAGGTAGTTAATAGACGTACTGTTTTATGAATCGACGCGTTCAGGCGTTTTTACCGTTTCCAGTCTCAGTTTCACTTATATATAACGAGTGAGCTAATATTTATTACACATCATTGCCTGCCCTATAAAATTTCTGTTGGCTTATATTTATTACCCGTTGTCCTCTGGCTTACTATCATACTGCGCTATAATAACGGAAGCAGCGGACATACAGCGCTGCAGAACTTCAATAACATCCTGTAATTAATGTGGTAATATCTGCTGGCAAAGAAATGTACGATTTAGAAGATGATCGGGTCTTTCAGGCTTTACTGGCTGTCTATTGTAAATTCAGGCGACACCATTTACCTCGGGACTCTTTATTAATTGGACAAAAGGTCTAAATGCACTTTCCATATCTATTATTTCCCTGTGTAAAAGAATAACGTGAACACATAGTTAAATTGTTGGGATTTTTGAATGGATTTAGAATTTAGGTTGTTTTACCTTAAAGAATTCATGTAATGGGGCTAAACCTGCATTTTCCTTTCTTTTCACTGACAGACAGGTGGCGATAACTGAAAGCCTGAACCAGCCAACCAGAAAGTCCAGCCAGTGTTTACCTGTTTCTCAGGTAGGGTGTGAACAGGGGGCAGGGCCACCCACGAGGTAGGAGGGATGCCTGTGGAGGGCGGAAGCAGCAGCGGCTCTGCTTCAGCTGCCCGTCACCCCAAGCAGAAGCGCAAGGCTCACAGTTTGTCTATCAGGCGCACCAACAGCACAGAGGAGAGGCCGGGAGGCATCCAAAGAGGAGACATGCTGGATGGACAGGTGAGGGGGAAATACACAAAGACATGGATCCATGGGTTTTCTCATTTACACACAAGCAAATCGACAACAGCAGACAAGCAATCTATGTTAACTTGAAGTTTTGAAGACAGCGTAATAACATATGTTAGGTGTAAAACACACAGAGTTTCACTTTAAAACACAGAGCAGGCTGTTCTCGCATAAGTAGCATTTTTATTGTTAGGCTGTTTTGGTGCGAGGCTGGTTCTTTCATTCACAAGAGTACAGTATGAGCCGGTTAAGCAGCATTTCTTTTATTTTGTACTTGCAACATCAACAACGCCACGCTTTCACGTGTTTATGAGTTTCTTCCTTGTTGTGAAACAGTAGCTGCAGTTTCTTGGGCAGATATTTCTTAGTCAAAAAGTTAATGCTGTCTCTGTCCTCTGTGGGTTTAGACTTTGGTTACTCATTTCTTTGTTTTAAAACAAAGTACTCGCCTGTGTCTCTGGTATCAAGTTGGTTATTAACTTTCTCCAAACACGGTTCTCTAAATTAGTTCTACAATTGATTTATTTCTTCCAGAAAAGGGAAGAGTGGGAACCTGTTCACGAGCAGCCATTTCCTGGTGCAGACCAGTTGCTTCTTCCCTTCTGAGATAATAAAAACTGTTTCTGTTTGATCAAGAATATCTTGGTTGTTAACTTTTGGGAGTTGGCTTTACAGCGACCTTATTGAAAGTCATCTCCCAGATAAGACCAACAGATGGTTTGTGAGTGTTTCACATTGTATTGACAGGTTTCTCGTATCGGGGGAGATGATAGACAACGTGTAGGGTTAAAATGAAAAACACGTTGGATGACCTACTTATCAGTCGCTCTCAAAAATGGGATGGTTGAATTTGTCAGTTTGCCAGACCATGGAAATCCTTTGCCTTTTACTTTCTGCGCTTTGTCAGCCACTAAAACTAGAGCTCAGCTTGCACTCGCCTGTTGTCTCATCAAGTTTTAATATGGGCCGCTTGTTCAGGTCTGATTAGTCTTTTCAACAGTCCTTTTTTGTTTATTGCCAAGACTGGCTGGCGCTGTGGATGTACCTCCTCTATTCCCTGCAGCACTGGCTACACATACACAGACAGTTTTATGGACCCATATTTTACACAGAACAGATATTCTTCCTCACTTTTAACGCTGCCGGCTTTGGCCTGAGCAAGCTGCAGGTTTAAGTGCCACTACTAAAGCAGCTTTAAATTCACAAGGCCTGCCTGTTACTTCTTAAATGACCTTTATTTATTTGTTTGGGCTTTTTTTTGATAAAGTGTGTGAACGTGGTGATGACAGAATGGTCATGCGGCTAACGTCATTGTGCCAAGCGGTTGGTTTTTTTAACACGTGCCTCAGCTGAAGGGTGACAAGTGAAGTGTTTGGTATCGTTGTCTTTTGGACGGCTGAAGGACTGAGCAGCAGCGCTCAGGGAGCTGTGAGACGCAGCCTTCTGAATCTAGTGTTTTCATGGCAGCTTTTATGTGTCTTCACATGCTAGTCTGGTGGAGATTGGCGGTCAGCTGGTAACTGGGTACATCTAGGACTGCACCATGGAAGTAAGTTAGTAGAGGCTGGTTGGACACTCCTGTTGTGTAGTTATTTGTTTTTAGCTTGTAGCTCTGTAGCTCAAACTGTGGCCAAGAGTTCGCACAAGTTCATCTGCTGCCCGATTAAATCGCGTAAACACGTGTGTTCAGTTAAACGTTTTACCTTTAAGAGTCACAAACTTCACTTCCGACTGTAATAACAGAACATGTTGTTGTTATACAGTTCTGCATTTTTGGCATAGCATTATGCTACATTATGTTACGCCACACTTGAGGAGGATGTGGAGCGAATTCCTGCTCTACATTCCTGACCTTGAAGCGTGCCGTGTGTATGACCTTACTGTGTGGTTCTGTTTTCTGTCTGTCCAGGACTCCAAGCTGCCTCTCGCTTTGCGGAGCAATCTTCTTGACCTGTTTGGTCAGATTGAACGGGAGTTTGAGAATCTCTACATAGAAAACCTTGAATGTGAGTAACTGACAGTGTACGCATCAGTGCTCATTTACTGAGTGGACGTTTTCAGTGTTTAAATACTGACACGTCATGGCTGTCTTACGTTGCAGTACGTCGGGAAATTGAATCACTGAATGAGCGGCTGACTGGAGATGGACAGGCTGTTGAGGGAGGAGACCCCACCAAGGGAGCCTTGAAAACAAAAGGTCCGTAATTTCCAACACAAATCTATTTAAGTCTGTAATTTACACTGACTACAGTTAATAGAAGTCTTTGGAAATTGAAATGGAAAATATTGATTGTGTTTAAAGTGGATATCTCATCCCATGGTGGCTGAAGTAATCTCCCTGGGAGCTGATAAACATAAAGATTTAAATTGGCATGTTACTTATGTGTCATCTTTGTGACAGACTGTCGTAAAACAGCTGTACACATATGAGCAGTTGTTTTTATTTTTACCTTTAGGAAGCCAAACTGTGTTTGTTCTTTGAGTTACTGTGGTTTAGTCACGATGCAGATAGATAAATGGTGACTTGTAGGGCGTTTGTAAATGATTAAACTGCTGATTAAAACTCGAGGAAGTTGTTGATCACAGTCCACACAGTGTTATTGCCACAGGCTGAAGACAGAGGAGTCGCCAGCATCACAAAGGCGGTGAATTTCGCCGGCTGAGTGGCACCGTAACACCCACAAAGGGGTGTGGGACTTTTCAGTAAACTGATTTCTCCTGCATTGATCTGAGAGATATTACAAACAGTGGCATTCCCACTCTGTCTCTAGCCAGCTTTTCGTGTTCTGCATCACATCCATGTCATGACATTTCTCAAAAAGTATCACAAAAAACATTTTGGACCTGAACTACCAGGAGTCCAGGAACATAAATTGAAGGGAAATGTGCCCCCAAATCACTCAAACATACGATAGCATTCGAAAAGAAGAGAAGTACAAAGATACAAGCAACTAAATGTTTACAAAATTATAGATAATACCAAAATAACTTTAAAATATTCAAGATAAAATAGCGAAGGACACGGATATTTTCTACCTTTAAAAAAATGCTGTAATGAATAAGAATTAAAGTGAAGGTTAATGAAAGCAACAAAGTTTAATTTGAGATGTTTTATCGGCTCTCTCAGACAGGCAGACTCTACCTGCACAGCCTAAAAAGACAATTTATCATTTCTTTTCTTTTTTTTAAAACTTCTTTTTATGGCAGATGTTTGTACCAGCTGTGTTTGTTTATGTTGTGTCTATATGCTGACCAGGCTGCTATATGGCATGGCTACACATTTGCATGAGCCACCTGTTTTTTCTTTGTACAGGGTGAGTGAACATTTTCTAGGAGCTAATGTTTACTTGGATTTTACTATTTGGGCATCCAGCAGCCTCCATAAGGTGAAAATACTCTCCAGTAACCCTCTGCCTGGCTGTGTATCCCTGTTTTTAGTAAATGTGTTTTCAATGCCAACAGTTGCCTCGATTTTAACTGCAGCATCCATAGTTTTCATTTGACTTCAGAGCTTGAGGCACATGCCCACCTGGAGGCCAAAAACAGTATGGCGGCCCTTTGAAAGTCTATAAGTTTAACTTATCGAAAATACCAGAAGGTTCCTGTGCTATCAGATGCACTAATAAGCTTTAACTAACCCTGCCTTACAGGCCAAACGTACCAGTCCCTGTTTCTTCTCAGCAGCCCCGGCTGTCAGTGGTG